TATACATGCAATACATGCAACACAGCCCTGTGTTGATGATACACTTTTATACACAATTGTTGATAGCATGTTATATCATATTTCCATGTGTTGTTTACGTGTAGATACAGTCGTACGTGTATACCGTGTTATATCACATACTGGAGGCATACTGTTCTTTATAGCGAGTCCCTCCTGTGTCTGTCGTGTGTTCGTGTATGTATCGTTGTATAACTGCAAATTATTACTTTCCTGTGGCTCGTTAAAGGCGAACTTATTGGCGTCTTATTGTTGGCAATGTCGAGCCGTCGATCACCCCACACCACGTGGGACCACCCGAGGATAGCTGATGGCCCCCCTTGTCCAATGGGTCATTGTCATTTTGGCCCATGATACAAGTAAACCGAGGTTATCTACTCCTACAAATACACTGAATACAACAGTGCCACTTAAGCTGCATGTACCTCGAGATTACACAGACACCTGGGTGGTTGGTTCGTGGGCAATGAATCGAATTACTTTCAATCAAATGATATCACTTTAAGTCTAATGATATCAATTCGAGTCTAATGACATAACTTACACTCTTATGACATCACTGTCTGGCCGTCTCAGAGTCAGTACACTGCGTCGCGTGTCCATGTTAAACCGTGGCATGAAAACATGGCATGTAAATAATACAGCCTGGACCAGAGAAACCACTACTAGATATTTTAAGCAGCGACCTAAAACATCTGAGCACGAAAACACGAGCACGAAATCAACCAAGCCAGCAAGCCTCACACCATGTCCACTTTAGTCTCCTCTTACGTCAAGCGAAGGTTACTGGTGATCAAGGCTATACCAGAATCCCTGCGGAGATATCATTGATAAGAAGACATGATTTGCAAACGGTCACTCACTCAGTCTTTTTAGAACTTATCCAATCAGTTATTAGATGACGATCTTGATGAACCATTGAGTTTCGTATCAAGATTCACCTGTACGTTCCTGATGCCCCAGAATAGAGGAAATACATAGAGTATATTTGTAATTTCTTGTTAAGTAAAAAGGGTTTCCTCATCGAGTGACGTGACAACGGGGAATTGTATGTTGTCATGAATGGGACACCACAAGTAACCATGCTTGTGTGCTAACCAATGAAGACGTCCCTGTGTACAGACAGGACGTACTTGTGAACTGGCCAGTGATGACGTAATTTATTACTGACTAAAGAGAATGTGCTTGTATCGATACCAGCGAGGACGTCCCGCATAACTGTATACAGACGATATGCTTGTTTATTGACGAGAGTGCGCGCACTTGTGCACTGACCAGTGATGACGTGCTTGAGAACTGACTAGATAGGACGAATTTGTATACTGACCAGAGAGGGTATGATTGTAAACTGACCAAAGAGGACGTCCTTCATTACTGACTGAAGATAATGTCCTTGTGTGTTGACCAAAGAAGACGTCCTTTATTATTACTCGAGAGGACGTCGTTGTGTACTGATCAGAGAGGAGGTGCTCTTTTACTGACAATAGATGACATCTTGGTGTACTGACATTAGAAGACGTGTTTGTGTGTTGATGAGAGAGAACGTCATTATTACGGACAATAGATAAGCTGGGGCAATATTACCTTGTATTTTGTAGAACAAACATAGCTTACCTTTCCCCCTTCGTTCTTTTAACGTTTCCCATCCTGTTTCAAAATACACATGATTGTGCGAAGCATACTTTGGGAACCAAGTAACTATTCTGGCAACTTTTAGTTGGAGATTTTCTAACTGAGGTGATAATTTAATTAAGCAGTGTTTTGCCCAGTTACACAGCTTAAATTTAGTGTTGATTCTACTAGTTTATTATCTGGTGAAGAAAAGCCGAGTGCTGTATCGTCAGCAAATAGTCTTGTAATGCAATCTAATTCATCAGCAATGTTAGTAACAAATACAATGAATAATAAAGGACCAAACATGACCCCTGTGGAACGCCAGCCTTCAAAGTCCTTGGCTTGGATAGAGCCCCGCTTACAAACACTGATTGAGTACGATTGCTTATGTAACTAAACAGCCATTCAAGTAAATTCCCTTCTATTCAATACATTTCTAATTTGTACATAAGCCCTCTATGCCAGACACGATCAAATGCTTTTGACGCATCGCCAAAAAACGCGATAATTTTCTCTATTATCTAAAGATATACAAATTTGATTATCCAATTCAATTAATTAATGGACAGTGGAATGGAGGAATTCTTCTCGTTCTTCAGTTAGGTTAGATATGGATTAGAAATATTCATTTGATCTCTGATTTTTTAAATCTGAAAATATAGTAGGACAGTCATCCGTATCTTGTTTCCTTAACGGGGGAATGCTTGAAGTTGTTCCAAAGTTTTTTGACAACATATCTTAATTTCCAATATGACTGTTTATTTATTATGTATAGTTCCGGAAGAAATTCATCGATGTTAGAATAGAACTTTCCCTTTCGCATAACTTTCATGTTGTTGACTTTATTGCGTTGTTTTTGTATGCAATAATATCTGTCATCTTATTACTCCTTTTTGATTTCTTTGGTAACCTAATACGTTTCCTACACTCCTTTCTTAAATGTGAATCAAACCATGGTTTGTCATTGGGTCGAATAGTGATAATTTTAGATGGAATACATTGTGTTACAAAATCATTCAATCTTTCATACAATACTTCACACATATCATCAACATTATTTTGTACATTCATTAAATAATACAGACAAATTAGTAATGTATATGAGATCATTCAAATTAACAAAATCTCCTTTGTTATAACATAAAACCTTGCGTTTATAAGCTATCTTGGTGCATATGTGTGTGTCCATTTCCATAAAGGCACCTTTGTGATCAGATATTGTACTATCGAAGCCGATCACACCACTGACCTTTACATCAACATCTTCACTGACAATGATTGGATCTAAAAGTGTGCTAGATTTAGAAGTGACTCTGGTGGACTCAAAAATAACATTCCTTATATTTTTTCTGTGTAAAATTTCGTTTATATGATTTTGTCTGTTAGATAATAAATTTTCATTTAAATCACCGACAATCACCATTTTACTAGATATATCCAATGCAACTTCGAAAGAATTATCTAAACGACTCCAAAACTGTATAGAATTGTGTTCTGGTCTGTAAACAGCACAGAGTAGTAAAGGCCCTTGAGGAAGAAATATTTTTATCCATATACTTTCATCAGTAATATTTTCTAGTTCTTGCATTCTCTTGTATGTTAAACACTTAGTGATATATATCATAACCCCTCCCCCAAAAGCATTTCTATCTTTCCGTATTGGATCATGTAATGATTGCCACTGTGAAGGTTCATTATATACAGATTCATCCAGATGTGTTTCAGTGAAACAAACTATATCATATTCAGACAAATATTCTGTAACATACCTTTGCTTATTACAGACACTCATGGTATTTAAATGTAAGATCGACAATGAGTGGTCAAGATTAGTTATATCACCTGTCAGTGGGCCAGGATTAAGTTCAAGATGTATTAACAATATGAATACGAGAATTACATTTACATTGCCGAGATAAGCCTGCAGAACACAAAGGTACAATCGAGAGTTACAAGCTTTCACTTCTAGTGATAAAATATAATGCATTATGTCCAGCTCATTCAAAAGAAACTTTGTGAAAGAAGATTGGCAGATAAACAATTGACACAACCTGTTAGAAGACTTTACAACACAGTTGAACACCTCGATCGATACTGAGATATATCATTACCCATATGTCAGTTTTAGTCTGGGAACAGTCAAACTCTTTTTGTGGGTTAACGATCGGGGAATATTAGGACGTTGCGACAATATTCTGAATGAGGCTCGTTCATCGTATTACATCCTCTTTCTCAAAGCTGATCATTTTGTAGCTACATTCCCGCGCAATAGACCCCCAGGAAGTAGTTTGTATGTTTTATGTTCGCAATGTGGACAATGGCTCCACATTATCTTTGTAAAGAATAAAAATACCCCAACTCATTCAGGTATCAACGCATTTCTAACAAAGGGTGTCCCACTGGTGGCCAGCTCCCCTAGGTCTCTCTTTTCTCGTTGCTCGTGGGGGTACGGGTGGCCCTGTCGTCTAAGGCGCCGCAATTCGCTGTGCAGAGTTGCGTCCCTTGGACACGCCAGAAACCTATGATTGTGGGTTCGAATCCCGGTTCGCCCCAATTATGTTTCTAGGTTTGTCAGCACCATACCCGTGCTCGTGGGTTTCACCGAAATGGTAAACGTCTGAGACCTGCATCACTTCGGGCTTTCCTCCCACATTAAGCTGACACGCCGCGATATAACTGGAATACTGTTAAAAGCGGCGTTAAATCCAACTCACTCACTCACTCTCGTTGCTTGTGGGTATTAATCCTACAATCTCCAATCTCATGATGTTTGGTTTGTCAGCATCAGATCCGAGGACGTGGGTTTCAACTTATACGACGTATTATAACTGATGATTACTCAGACAGGTAGAATATAACACTTCCTACCTGATAATGGTCAATTGCCATCTATTGTTAAATTGTGTTCATCGAATATGAGAGAGAGAGAGAGACAGACAGACAGACAGACAGACAGACAGACAGACAGACAGACAGACAGCGCATATATTCACTGTGGGCTAATGCGGCATGTATACAGGTGTAAAAGATTAATGACGCCCAGCCATACTTTAGTCGGCAATCTCGTAACCAGTACAAAGACATTTAGAGTCTATTGCACAGGTATAACTTAAGCTCCGTAAGTCCTGATGTAGCAACGTGTTTTTTTTCTAAATAATGATCATGTTATTTGTTAAACAAACAATGTGACCTTCATTTCGAACTAGTCCAATCACGTTTTCCTGAGTTTTTGAGTTCTTATGCAAGCAGAGGCATTTATTAGATGTTCTACAGGATTGGACGCTATAACGAAACTGCATGATCACATTTCAGTTATTATACAATTTATACAAAGGACTTTCCTTATAAGTCATAAGATAGACACCTACCTGATGTAAAGTTCAGCACATAGACACAGAGCAGGACAACGAGTCTGACCCCCTCCATGGCGGCGAGTCTGTGCACCGGGAAACTTATTCCGCATTCACGTGACTAGTAATGTCATACAGAGAGTTGAACGACCCTCTCTGAATGACTATTGTGGCTACCATACACTGGGCATTGGAGGTGTTCGTGTTATTCACCTAGCATGACAAAGAGTATGAACGTTTAAAAGTCCGTATACGTTCCTGCATATAAGATCGCCTGGTGACAGTGGCGTACATAACACTTCAAACTGCCACTAGCCGCACCGCCAAAGCTTAAGCTTAACGTAATTCTGAACTTATGTGAACAATTCACGCCGATTTCTAAAATATACAGAATGTTTTACTGGTAATAGTAGTATGTAGACCATTAACTGTTCATGTACTGATGTCAGGTTAATGTTATGCTAATAATTGTAGCATTCAGACTGTTAACTGTAGCATCTTCTACATGACAACATGCTGGTGTACGACCCGCAAAGACGCCTGATAGTCATGAACAAAATTTATTTCGTTTATTTCGTTTATCAAATAATGTAAATTTAACGTTATCTATCTTTGTTGTATGACCCCATCCCACATGTTCCTACATGTAGGTCGTACTTTCGAACTCGCCCGTTCAATAATGTTAAGACTATCAATGTTTTGTCGGAAAACTGTATACTGGTCATTTGATATAATCTGTCGATAAAGATCATTTCTTATCCTTGCGACAAAAACGTTGAGACACGCGTCAGGAAAACTAAAGCTTTGAATTTTCTTGAGCTCAAGCAATAAAATATGTGATATGTGCGTGACTTATTGGAGGAAAATACTCTCTTCGTTGTAACTGCAGTCAACATAACAAAACACAAAAGAAAATGGTATGTCACAGTGGAGCTGCAATCCTTTCAAACAGTTTTATTTCTAAAGCTACAATGCAGGATATAAATACTGACAAGTTACTTATCAATGGTTGATCATATTAATGCGATCTAGGAGAACGCTTCCTTGTGTGTGAAACCGGAACTGCTTTATTACTGATACATTTTTAAACCCTGAAACAATTGTAAAACATTCATTACACAAAATATAAATATATGCTGACATCAAATATTTCATTACATTTGATGATATATACAAAATGCTATAACAACTAATTGATAAACTTACATCTCATCAAGACTTCATTAATCCTATATCATAAAAATACTTAGCCCGCATATATACTTATATATGCGTATCATATGAATAGAGTAACATAAACATGACATGATACATTTACTATCATGTGTTCATACAATATACAATATATGAGAAATATATATATACAACCTAGTAAACCCACCAAGTGTGTGGACCTGGGTTCATCAGTCCAGACACAGACCTCTGCACGAGTAATACAGCTACATCTGCACCACAAATAAATGAATATATATACACACTGTGCAGACCAATCTGATAGCAGCAATATTACTACAAACCGATACATAGTGTTATTGCAGAGTAACTTAAAACATTTCTAGAATATAATAGTAAAACCCTGACTCATTCATGCATTATACATTCCTACATTACACATTCATGTATACCAATATGTAACCTAGCAACACATATGTTTCGCATTCTTACTTTCATACTTAATACGTTCATACATCAGCTTCACAGTGATTGAAGATTTAGTTGAATAGTTTTTTAGTCCCAAACTTAGCGCTTACTGAATTATTTACCTTACGTAAATAATAACACTTGTAATGCATACAGAAATGCAACTAATTACTATGATCTAGCTAATATTTACAACATGTCAAAAACAGCCAAATTATCGACAGCATAAACACAATATACGTACAAATCCTAGGAATACGTACAAACAATAAAATATCATCAAAGGACCAACCTTTAGAAGTGAATCCCAAAGTCCATTAATCAAACACAATAATTAGTCCAAATTGTGAATTCCACAACGTCCAGTGCTGTATGTTGGTTCGACAGTAACATCAAATGGGATATAAACTAAGTAAAAACTAATCCCTTTAAACTGGAGACAGTAAACTAGAAAGTTAAACACAAAGGGGCTGTGAGGGGCGCGCTTGGGCAGGCTATTGTGTGATAGTGCACTAGGTGATTGAGGTTGTGGCAAAGTACTCATGCAGTAAGCTGAAACAGAGAATTAGGAGAGCTGACGTGTGAAGTATATAATGTTTAAAACATACTTGACTGAAGATTTAAGTCACTAAAAATCTAAACTAATAAAACTCTCAAAATATATACAACCATCTGATCCTGTCATATGTGAATTTGGCTTTATGACCGACCCTATGATAAACATATCACTGGAAAGCCTTTTCTACCTTACTAATGGAGAAATGTGGGACATGTGATACTACAATTTCGCCATGAATTGATTCTGATTGGTCAATCAAAGGTTTGAAGTGACAATAACAGCCGCTAATTGAAACTGTCCACCTGTCGGAAGGTAATAGTGAAAATACTTCTGTTTCAGTCGGTTAGAGGGCACATTCGAATGTAAGTCGCAACATGGATATATGTTCAGAGACGAAGTGAGTAGACTGAACGGACAGCACACGTTTGTGTCCAAATTTAATTTAGTCTCTTTTAATCCGCAAGTAACAATGCTAGGCTTCAAGAAGTAAGTTCGTTATGCGTCATTCGAGATTCGGAAAACAAATATGAGCAAGTCCCTTACCCACGATGAGCTTTTTGACCATAACTATGTAATGACTATATGCACATATATACTGAACCAAATTAAAAACTTCACAATCCTAAAATTTTAACATTTTGACCGGTTATCATTGTGGGCCCTTATTGTGTATTTAAACAGTAATGGCCACGTATTGTCTTCAGATAACACCCGCTTTTGTGCAGGTGATTCGATCAAAATCATGTGCACAGCACTATAGGGGCAAACGTGGTTTTTCACGTGCATCTGGTCACGTGGCCATAATACAGCACGTGTTTTCAGCCATACTTGTTAACAGTCATTAACAAAAAAAGAAAAACACAAGAAAACAAAAGTCTTTGCGGCCATTTGTCACGCCACGCATTTCAAATGTGCAACGTGAACGTGCCATCGGCATGTTGCAGACGGGAACGTCCGTAGCTGAAGTCGCAAGGACTATGGTTTGTAGTCGACGGACTGTTTATGATTTACAGACGCGTCTACAGCAAACGGATACCACCGCTGATCGCCCTCGGCCAGGTCGACCACGTGCGACGTCACATGCAGAGGATCGTCAGATTGCCTTACGTCACCTCCGTAACCGATTTTCAACCAGAAATGAACTGTTTAGGGGTAGACTGAGTGCGCAAACTGTTCGAAACCGTCTGAGAACTGCTCACCTTCAAGCACGACGGCCATACTGCGGGCCGAGTCTGACTCAATTACACAGACGTCAACGTCAATTGTGGGCACAGCTACACTTACGATGGACTCAGAGGAATTGGAAGTCGTCTTCAGTGATGAATCCCGATTTAATCTTCGATTTGCTGATGGTAGGGCGAGGGCGTGGAGACGCCGTCATGAACGTTACGTACAGGAAGTTGACAGATTTCGAGGCGGAAGTGTCATGGTGTGGGGTGCTTTCTGTGGCAATGCACGTTCTAGGCTTCTTGTCATCCGTGGCAACCTCAACGCTGCTGCTTACCGCGACCAGGTACAGGCACCAGAGCTTCTGCCTTTTTTGGCAGCACATGGACCCGGTTTGATCTTCCAACACGACAATGCCAGACCCCACACAGCAATTTTGACAAGGAATTTCCTTTAGAATGCGGGAGTCAACTTCATGGACTGGCCGTCAAGATCTCCCGACCTCAATCCAATCGAACACGTCTCGGATGCCCTTGGCAGAAGTCTGCGCATTCTCCGGAACCAACCACAGAATTTGCAAGATCTTGCAGAACAATGGCGTCGTCTTCCCAATCATGTGTTCACAAGCATCACAAGGTCCATGAGGAGGCGTTGTGTGGCAGTTTTCAACGCACATGGTGGCCATACACGCCACTGACCTTGTGTGCCATCAGAATCTCGTGCTTGATTTAAACTGTTGATGTTATTACCGAATACCGTAGGTGCTTGGAACAAATTATGGTTACCACCGTTAATTAAAATCCTTCTTTGGACATTAATGATTAAAAATTACCTTCTCTGATATATTTGTCCGTTGTATATCATATATTGGATTACTTTTAAAAATGTGAACTTTTTAATTTGACTCAGTATACTATGAAACTCAGTTGGGGTCAAAGACTTTCTCGTGTTCAGATATTGGAAAAACGCTTCATGAAAGTAACATTAAACTAACAGTTCAATTCCGACGAATTGGAGTTATTTATCGCTGAATAAAACACTATAGGGAGAATATACCATGAGGGGCGCAGCAATGACCACGAGTCGTTTATTTCTTACTGGCGATATCAACGTTATGTACAGCCTCTTCAAGAATATTAAAAAATGTACAGTATTTACGTGTATGTAAATAAATGATGATTCTCTAAATACAATCCAACTTCGACAAGTCCATTTTATGAACAGGGGTGTAACACCCTTGTTCATAAAATGGACTTGTCGATGTTGGTATTCACCGTGTATTGTCCCAATTTTCGGAACGTTTTTCTGTACATTTTCTCCAAATACTGATTGTCATATCTCTCCCGATTTGGGATGCAATCTTTCGGCCATCACGTTCATCTGGGTTGCCCAGCTACATCTTCGGTGAGAAACTCACTAGCCCCTTCTCGCTAAAAAATAACGCCAACTAAGGATTAACTTGAGATCTCCAGAAGTAACGTCATGATATAACAATATTTTATCGTAAAATAAATCACGCTTCTGTTTTCATTGTTGTTTGCAATTTATCGCATAGCTATCTTATATATGTGGATATGATTTGACAGCTCGTTCTTTGGGATATTAATCCTCCAATACATGCAATATGAAACTTCGTTCATACAAATGGATTCATTTCCAGGAATATAGTATGTATCCACAACGTTCATTATTAAGGGATTACTAGACTCTTGTTATACCGACTTACTTAT